GCTGAAAGCTGGTTTCTGGGGTTTTGTTTAGCTACTACATTTGCAACATAGTACATAGTTTCTTAGAGTTGTAGCTCAGAGGCCGTCAAGTCAGGCGGGGGTTGGAGTCCGCAGTCACTGCAGCAAGCAAACCTCATGTTCGCTTCCAGCTGCCTGGCTGCCGGCCGCCATCTTGGCTGACAGTTAATTTGCATAAGGATATGCTGATTAGCCAATGGGAAGGGTAGCTCGTACGCCAATTACCATGTTTCTCTTTTATTAGTGTAGATGCTCTGAATCTTAATACAAACAAATAACCCAGGTTTGTAATCAGCATATCAAATTGAAGCAAGAAATATAATCAAGAACTCTACAAAGAATCTGACTTGGAGAATAGGTTTTATCTTTTGCTCTGATTTGGATCCATTATAATGTTGAGAAGGATTCAAATATTGTGTTCTAGGCTCGGAAGCAAATCCCAGGGTGAGTGAGCAATGTCTAACAAGGGAAGGAGAGCTGAGTGTTCACTGGCCCTGGGCTAGAGAATGGGGGCAGAAGAATAACTACTGCCATGCATGGCAAGGAAAAGAGTGTAAATTTTCCGAACACCATGTGACAGAACTATTTGAGATGCTTTAGATATATATTTATTTTAATTCTCAAAACCACCCTTTAAGAAAGGCACTAGTTGTCATGCCTACCATAGAGATGAAGACACTAAAGCCAGAGAAGTTATAACGATCCTAAGAACACCCAAGACATAAGTGGCTGGGATTTGACCCGGCACACACCAGAACCCATGCTCTTCACCATCCTCCTATATAATAAAAGGCTAATATGCAAATAGAACAAACAGTGGAATGACCGGTCGCTATGATGCACACTGATCACCAGGAGGCAGACGCTCAATGCAGGAACTGCCCCCTGGTGGTCAGTGCGCTGTGGGAGCACTGCTCAGCCAGAAGCACTGAGCCAGGCTCATGGCTGACACCCGCAGCGGCAGTGGCAGGAGCCTCTCCTGCCTCCGTGGCAGTGCTAAGGATGTCTGACTCCAGGGAGCAGGCCTAAGCCATCAGTTGGACATCCCTCGAGGGCTCCCGGACTGCAAGAGGGCGCAGGTGGGTGCAGGCCGGGCTGAAGGACCGCTCCACACCCCCCCACCCCACCCCTAGTTATGTTATAAAGATTCAAAATATTTCCATGTTCTTGATGCCAGGAGATGGAAAGGTTGACAGGAAAGGCAGTTCCACAAATCACCAAGATGATTTCAGCCCCAGTTCCACTAAAGTAAGATGCTTCTGGCAGTGAGAAACCTGAAGACCCAGCCCTACCTCCATCCCGGGTTCAGTCTTACAAGTTTTGCAAGCCCAGTGGCTCGGGACACTGGGGAAGGGCTCTGAAACCACTCGTGAATAATTCCGGTTTGAATAATGAAGAGATCAAGAGAATCTCAAGAACTAAATCCCAAAACCATTATAAATGCCCATATTCACCAGTACCACTAAAGCATCAAGTTCTCAGTCAGTAAGTACCCTTCCTAAAAGGATTTCCAAATAAAACAGTAATGAAACAAATCTGCCAGTAGGTTAACTGTTCTCTGATGAATCTTAGCAAACCAGAAAGACTGTATGGATTCCTGGATAAAACATCGAGCTAATTCCTGGTGGACATTTGAGCTCCAGAGCTTTCTCAGAATGTTTGTAAGTTGAGGTTCCAGGAATACTAAGGAAAATATGCCTAAAAGTCATATTGAGGTGCTTTAATGAATTTATTATTAATTGTAGTATTGAAAGATAGAAAATTCAAGATCATCCTATTGAGAAAACAAAGCACAGAGAGGGCAAGCATCTTGCCCAAAGGCACACAGCTTGTTAACAGCAGTTTCTACAATAGTTGCGATTCATGTAACGTTATAGTTTCAACTTCAGAGTTTTCTTACTTTTTCACTTCCAGATGGGTTTAAAACATTCCCATGGACATAAGAGCTAAGTTAACAAGTAGGCCTATACAAAGCAGAGGGTATTTTAAAGTTTCCTGCTAAAGCTGGAAACATTGTCTCATTGTATAAGGACATTGTCAGTGTCCAAACTTCCATCTAAAAAGTCTGAGCCAGCCCTGGCCAGTTTGGCTCAGTGGATGGAGCGTCAGCCTGCGGACTGGGGGGGCCCGGGGTCAATTCCGGTCAGGGGCATGTGCCTTGGTTGCAGGCACATCCCCAGTGGGGGGTGTGCAGGAGGCAGCTGATCGATGTTTCTCTCTCATCGATGTTTCTGGCTCTCTGTCCCTCTCCCTTCCTCTCTGTGGAAAATCAATAAAATAAAATAAAAAAATAAAAATAAAAAGTCTGAGCCAGTGGCAGTGCTGCCTTCGCTTACCTGCACTTTTAAGGAATCCGTTTCCCACAGGCCTTCTGTTCCTTAAGGTGAAGAATGCGGTAGGGGTGCCAGAGCTTCGGGAGGCTGTCTGCCCAATCGTTGTACCACTAGAAATTATCCGAGACAAAGGTTGGGCTGCTCCTTCACTTGTAAGTACTGAAATGAAACACAAAGATGGCATGCTTCTAAGAACAGCTCGTTACCTGAGAACATTTTTCATCCATTAAAAACACTTTAATGAAGACTATTTTAGCAAACTCACTCCTGACCTGTCCCCAAAATACTTGACAGGATGATGAAATTGCCAAAAACAAAACAAAAAATCCAACAGCATACCCAGCAGCACCTATTACATTACTGTAGTTCCTGGCTGGTTATCCACGGGATCCAGCTCCATCTCCTTGAAAAAAATAACATGTCCAGCTCAATTAGCCCAAAGCAACCTGGTAATGAAAGAACCATCTGTCTTATTTTTCAGCTTCTCTCCACACATACACACAGCTTTATTGTTACATGCGGAGGTGAGAGAAGGAGCTGTTGCTCTGTAAACCCGCTGAAGAGCGGGGGAGGGAGGAGAGCGGGGAGTGAGGAGGAGGTCGAGGAGAGTAAAAACAGCAAGAAGAAAGGGGGGGAAAGAAAGCGTGAGGAAATTAGTAAAAACAGCAACTAGTTTAAGAATGTGCTGTGGCCACTTTCTCAAAAAAATATTTTAAAGAGAATCTTAAAATACTCCTGTCACAGCTTTTCTTACATTGTTTCAGCGTTTCTTACATAAGACTAACCCCGATACAAAAACCAACAGCAACAAAAAAGCTGCAGCTCTGTACTTCCTGTTTAGTAGAAAATGTTATTTTTTTTAAAAAAATTATTGATAAACAAATATGAAAACCTACAAAAATATGCCAAATAGTTTATTTCAGAAGCCACTCATGAACTCTAATGTCCTACATACGGAAATAGGAATGCTTTATTATGAAATTCATATAGTAACATGAAAAATGTTTAGATTCTACCAAGCAAGGAAAGAAACATTTTAAAATCCGAGTACTCTAAGGTTATTTCTACGTGTTCGATGCGTGTGCAGACACATTACTGAAAGCCGTTAGAGAACAATGAAACCAGGTGATGTGCTGAGTTATGGCCTACAGATAATTTTTTCTTAAAAGTTCAAAATCTTAATCTAGAATTCAATTCTTAAGACTAAAATTCTTAAATATTAAAATGTATAGAGACAGGAAATGCTTATTTTCATATATTCCTGCATGCCTTTCACTTCTGAAGTGCTAATTGGCACATTTACAAATTAGGAGGCAGGCGGTGGTGCTCTTCAGTGGCTATTATAATAGAAGTCTCCTCCATGAGACACAATTGTGAACTTAAGGAAACTATGGATAATGATAAGTTTGTGCCTTAGTAGCATTCTCCCTAAATGTATACGAGTACATACAGCTCCTGAGTTTCTGTCATCTTCTACTCACTACTACTTATTACCAGGTGCAATCACAATATTGAAATTGGAAGGGCCCTTTAATATTTTCTAGTCTACATAAGTGAGTAAAGAAACCTTGATGTTATACCAGGAACAACTGGGGGAATGGGGATTTAGTTATACCTGGAAAAGTTTAAATCAAGGGAAGAAATAAGATGGCCCATTCTCGTGTTTAGATGACCTTCCTGAAGAAGAGGCATTGGCCAGGCTCTGAGGTTGCCAGTGGTTAAGCCATGGCCAATGAATGTAACATTCAAGGAGTTAGGTTTGAGTTTGGTAAGGAAGAACCTGCTAATATTTAGGTTGCCTACAGATACTACATGCTGCATTGCTGGATAATGAGTCACTTGTTACTAAAGATATTCTGTTCTAAAAACCACTGGGGCTCTGGCTAGTGTGGCTCAGGTGGTTGGAGCATCATCCCGTGCACTGGAAGGTTGCTGGCTCCATTCCCTGTCAGGGCACATACCTAGGTTGCGGATTCAACCCCCAGCTGGGGTGTGTACAGGAGGGAACCAATCAATGTTTCTCTCATAAATCAATGTTTCTCTTTCTCCCTTCCCCATCTCTAAAATCAGTAAAACATATCCTCAGGTAAGAATAAAAAACACACACAAAAAAAACAACAACACCTGGGGATTTACCAGTGCTTACTAAACTTTAATGTTCATTGACATCACTTGAACATCTTGTTAAACTTCTGATTCTGGCCCTAGCCAGTGGCGCAGTGGTTAGAGCAGCCACCCATGGTTGCATGTTTGATACCAGTCAAGGGCACTACCTCAGTTGCAGGCTTGATCCCCAGCCCTGGTCTGGGCGCATGCAGGAGGCAACCAGTGGATATGTCTCTCTCACATCAATGTTTCTCTCGGTGTGTCTCTTCCCCTCTCTTCCACTCTCTCTAAAAATCAATGGGGAAAAAAAAAACCTTGGGTGAGGATTAACAAAAAAAATAAAATAATAATAATAAAATTCTGATTCTGATTCAGTAGGTCTGCGCAGGGCCTGGGAACCTGCATTTCTAGCAAGCTCCCAGGTGACACCAGTGCTGTGGGTCAACTCTCTTCCACTCTCTCTAAAAATCAATGGGAAAAAAACACAAAACCTTGGGTGAGGATTAACAAAACAAAAAAAAATAATAAAATTCTGATTCTGATTCAGTAGGTCTGGGCATGGCCTGGGCACCTGCATTTCTATCAAGCTCCCAGGTGACACCAGTGCTGTGGGTCAGGACTGTGGGTCTGTCAAGGATGCAGCTTGATTACAAGCATTAGAATGTTATTAAAACCAGTGTTTCCCAAAGCGTACAAAGTCTTCTAACCACATGACTTCAAAAGTCCTCCTGATTATCCCTGGTTTCCGGGCAGGTGTTTAATAAATAAGTTAAGCGGTTATAAGCAGGGTTTTATGAGTCCACACATTCAAATCTCCAAAAAAGATTGTTATCTTGGTATCCTGCAGTACCAACTAGGTCATACTTCTGAGCAATAACTAATTTTGCACAGATCTAAGGAAGAGATGTTTTACCTCCTTTTTTTTTAAAAAAAAATGATGCTCTTACTCCAAGCTTGGCATATAAATAAGCATGTTCTGATGAATAAATGAATGAATGAATATATGCATTCAAAATGCAAGTATTTATGATAGCATTATACTACAGTTAACAGAGAAGTAGGATTGGAGAAAATGTGGCTACAAAGTAAGTTTTCCCAGTGATCTGTGTTGTATAATCTCCAAAGGTGGGGAGGGAAAAGTCTCCCAAAGCTATAATTTGTAGAGTTCTTTATCAACGTAGAGGGTTGCATTATTTTTCTAACCCTGGAATTTCACCTCCCTAACACCCCTCTGAGTCATAAAAATTCCTTTAATGCATAGAAACCCCCCATTTCCTGCTTGCTCATGTTTTTGCTCTGCTCTCCCACTTAGTTAATAAATTTGGGCTTGCAATCAGTTCAAAATCCCATGTAATATCTTTCCTGGATAAATATGCTAATATCTGAACACAAAGATCTTCCTCAGATTTTAAGCATGTTTAGGTTTCTCTCACAGAGAAAATAAACCCACAACTACAGGGAACTAGTTTCCTGCCTTTGCTCCAACTCTGAAGGCCCCCCTTCCACTGGGTTTACTGTTTTAGTTTGCTTAAAAGTTAGAGCGTTGTCCCAATACGCCAAAGTTGTGGGACACATACAGGGCACATACAAGAATCAACCAAAGAATGCATGGGTCGGTGGAGCTACAAATTGTTTCTCTTCCTCTCCCTCTCTAAAGTTAAAAATTAATAAAATATGTATTTTAAAGTTGTAACATTCTATCTGACTTACAAAAGCCCTTTTTCAAACTACTGATTACATCAGTTTATTCTGATTGAGCCTAGCTTATTCTGCTTCCTGGGAAATATCATCTTCTGTTAGTTAGTTCCTCTTTTGCTATTTTTAAAAGAAAAAAGAGTGAGTTAAGTGGAGGGCAAAAAATCAGTTAAACGAATCAAACCTTAAGATTAAAGTGCTGGACATTTTCCTGCTTTCCACAGCAAATATGTGATTAACTTATACTACTATCCATCATTAGATGAGCCTCTAAACCTCTAACATTACACATATGATGTAAATCTTCATTTGTGGTATCTTATAATTTATTATTGCAAATAAGCCAATACATGCGATATATGTTTTCTTTTATGAAATTATATAATCCTAGATTTATTTCCTAATTCACTAGTAGGTTAATGCTTTAGTCAAAGTACATTAAATCAAATTCATTTCCTGAAAATATGAATTCTGAAAGTTTTCACCTTCTGCAGTAATTTTGTTCATTTAGTCAAAAAATAATTTCCCAATGCCTACTCTGAGCCAAAGAATGTTCTAGATACTGAAGATACAGTAGTGAAGAAGAAAAATAGTTTACAATCCAGGAGAGAGGCAGAAATGAACTGGTAGTTCACAAGTAACTTTTACAGGACAATTACGGTTTGAGTAGGAATGGACCCAGGTGGGGAAGACCAGAGAGAATTCTCAGAAAACTCCTCCGAGAAAGATTTGGCCAGATGAAACGAGGGCGGAAATAAAAGATAACCCAGGCAGAAGAAACAGCATCAGCAAAGACTCAGACGTGAAAATGAAAACAGTAGACTAAAAGATCTTTGGCTGCCCACAGAAAATAACAGCTAATCTTTGTTGCACAGCTACTGCATGCACAGACTCATCTGATCCTCACAACAGCACTGAGACAGGCACTGTCATTCTCATTCTTCGGATAAGGAAGCTGAGGCTTAGATGTGTTCACTTGTCCAAGATCTCAGAGCTAGAATATGTCAAGCCAGGGTCTGCTGCTGGGGTCTCTGTTCTTAACCTATAAGCGATGATAGCTTCCCAAGAGCCAAGTCAGCTGGGAGGTTTCCTTGTGTTCAGATTCATGGTGTCAACTTTCATTTTTCATAGACTAACATCATTTCTATAGATGCATTAGAATAGCTTCAGTCTCAGCCTTGATAAATGTATGGCTCCTAGTTGGAACTTATTGCCTGAGGAAATATTACATGAAGATTTTTATCATGAAAATGTTAATAGAAGTCCAAAATGTCAATATATCAAACGTCCATGAACCCCCAAACCAAAATAAACGTATATTTTCAGGGATTTTTTTCAAATGTACATTCAAGTTCCCTTCCCTACTCCTGTTACTCT